CCCGTTTTGAATGCAACGGCAAACACGTGCTGCGCATCAGACCCTGTGTACTTGCTCGGCACGGGGAACACATCCTCCAACTCGGAGAAGGGGGTTGCAATGCACTGCTGCTCCATAGTCTCTTTGGTTCTGCTTTGCACAAGATCCAGCTTGGTGAATTGTCTGGTTTTTGCATCTGGCGCAGAATTAGAATCTACCTCCCCTCTTATACACATATATCGCCGCTTCCACGCCATGTCGCCACTCTGTTTATAAACAATACCTTCATACAACGAAATGTCACCGATACACCTAGAGGGGGCTGAACCCTCAAAAACAGTAGTAGACACAGCAGCAGGTGCAGCTTGCGAGTCCTCCATCTGCATATAGCGAGATTTGCGCATGGACTGAAGTTCTTGTTTAGTTGCCTTGATGTGCACGGTAACAAGTTCCCTTTGCTCATCCGTCAACGAATCGAGATCTCGCACTATCTCAATCACAACCGATAGATATAGCTTACAGATAGGTGCGTTCAACAGTTTACTGCTTGAAGGGCGAGCCCGGGGGTCACTGGAAAGAAGTGATGACACTACTTCAGACATCTCAGGGCTAATTGAGGAAGGCAGTGGCTCATACTTCCCACTGAGTGTCTTCTGCATTACCCCCTGCATATCGGCACCGTCAAAGGGACGCTTTAGTGTCAGTAGCTCGTACAGCAGTACACCAAGAGAGAACAGATCAGCCTTCTTGCTGTAGGGCTTCCGCCGCCATATCTCTGGCGCAACGTAGTACGGTGTGCCGCAGAATGTCTTACCCACATCCTCTGAGACAGTGGCAGAGTACATCTTACTGAACCCAAAGTCGCCAAGCTTGATGAGTCCATTGCTGCACAGCAGAATATTGGCAGACTTGATGTCCCGGTGGATCATGTGCCGCGAATGCACGTGGTGTAGTGCAAGAAGCACCTGGATAAAAAGAAGGCCGGCCTCGTGCTCACGAAATGCACGGTCGGATTTCGCACGGCTCTTTATTTCCTGTCGGAGATCCCCAGCGTTGGCGTAGTCAAGAACAAGAGCAATCATTAGCACGTTTTCCTCATTCTGTGGGTCCTTTTTAGCGTAGTCCTCATGGCACTTCAGGATCGAGAAGAAGTCGCAGCTCAGCAGACAGTGCACCTCCGCCTGTGCACGATTCTTGTCAGCCTCCGACATGCCTTCCATGTCCACTACCTTCACCGCAAACGTCTCTGCGTCGGACACACGCTTTGCACACAACACCGTCCCTGTCGCACCTGATCCCAAAACACGACTGATCCAATACTTTTTCCCCTGATCTCTTGCCGTCGCCTCATCCTTCGCGAAGGCATCGCTAAAGGTTCGGCACACACGCGTTATCATTGCATCGCTGGAAGGCATCCTTACTTTCCTTGATTAGATGGACTACTTCTTGAGATACAAATCTGCGGGTTAGGAAGAGAGATCGCCCCCAGAGAAGGTGAAGTGTTTCTCAAGAGATAGCCCCTGTCAAGAAAAGGAATAAGCAATCACCATAGACGCAATGCTCAGCACTTACCATACCACTCTCATATAAAAGGAGTAGAAGTATAGTAGCCACATGTTACAATTAAAAAAAAAACATGCAACAAGACGGTTCAATGGCAAATACATTTAAAATGAATGAGATAACACAAACCCCCAGGTTTGATTCGCGAGGAAAGCGGGGTCTTTATAAATCTAGACCGCAGAAGGTGGGGGTAAGGTAAGCTGCATCATTGTCACCGACACATACATGTGAATACCAGACTAAACAAGGTCTGACAAAAATACTTGAGGGGTGTATAGCGAACAAATACAAAACCAAAATTAAACCAGTGGGGAAGCATTATAAAAGAGCAGTTGTTTGCTCCTCAAAGTAAAGAATACGATCTATTCCGCATCCCCAATTCCAAGTGTTTCTTGAATCTTCTGCATCCATTCATCTCGCTCAGGTTCACCGCGCGCCTGAAACAGAAGCCGCTTTCCCGTTTTGAATGCAACAGCAAACACGTGCTGCGCATTAGACCCTGTGTACTTGCTCGGCACGGGGAACACATCCTCCAACTCGGAGAAGGGGGTTGCAATGCACTGCTGCCGCATCGTATCCCTTGACACAGCAAGCACCAAGTCAAGGCTCTTGAACTTGGGTAGCCTGGTGCCGTCAAGCTTCTCACCCTCTTCTAGCGCTCCGCGTATGCATAGGTACCGCCGCTTCCACACAAGATCTCCGCTCTGCTTCTTCACATTGCCCTCATACAGCGTAAGGTCTCCCACATTCATCATAGTAGTCGCCCCCTCAAGGATGGTCGTCGATGCTGCTGTTGCCAGCGATTCCTCCATTTGTCTGACGCTGATTTGCCTATCAGCCTTGAGAAGCTGCTTCACCTCCTGAAGATGCGACGATATTGCCTCACGCATCGGGCCATCAAACGACGACTGCGACTGCACAATCTCAAACAAACCAGACATAAACAATTTACAGATAGGTGTGTTCAACAACTTGCTGCTTGAAGGGCGAGCCCGGGGGTCACTGGAAAGAAGTGATGACACTATTCCAGACATCTCAGGGCTAATTGAGGAAGGCAGTGGCTCATACTTCCCACTGAGTGTCTTCTGCATCACCTCCTGCATATTGGCACCGTCAAAGGGACGCTTCAGTGTCAGTAGCTCGTACAGCAGTACACCAAGAGAGAACAGATCAGCCTTCTTGCTGTAGGGCTTCCGCCGCCATATCTCTGGCGCAACGTAGTACGGTGTGCCGCAGAATGTCTTACCCACATCATCTGAGACAGTGGCAGAGTACATCTTACTGAACCCAAAGTCGCCAAGCTTGATGAGTCCATTGCTGCACAGCAGAATATTGGCAGTCTTGACGTCCCGGTGAATCATGTGCCGCGAATGCACGTGGTGTAGTGCAAGAAGCAACTGAAGGAATAACATGCCGGCTTCGTGCTCCATGAATGGCCTATTGTTCTTCGCACGGCTCTTTATTTCCTGTCGGAGATCCCCAGCGTTGGCGTAGTCAAGAACAAGAGCAATCATTAGCACGTTTTCCTCATTCTGTGGGTCCTTCCTAGCGAAGTCCTCATGGCACTTCAAGACTGAGAAGAAGTCGCAGCTCAGCAGACAGTGCACCTCCGCCTGTGCACGATTCTTGTCAGCCTCCGACATGCCTTCCATGTCCACTACCTTCACCGCAAACGTCTCTGCGTCGGACACACGCTTTGCACACAGCACCGTCCCTGTCGCACCTGATCCCAAAACACGACTGATCCAATACTTTTTCCCCTGATCTCTTGCCGTCGCCTCATCCCTAGAGAAGGCATCGCTAAAGGTTCGGCACACACGCGTTATCATTGCATCGCTGGAAGGCATCCTTACTTTTTTGCTGTGTTGTGTGTCACTTTATTTACTCCTTACTACTATGTTATCATGCCGTAAAAAAAAATGTTTTTTTTTTTAATATACTTCAACCCAAGACACAAGTAGTTTTGTGTAATCATGATGTCAATCCTTTGTTGTTGCATACAAAAGGAAACGCCTCAAGTGTCTATTGATGTATTATTGAGGTAAGAGAGGTAATCCAATAATGAGGAAGTACCTTACTCCAAACTGAGACTCATAGTAAACTACACGACAGTATGCGTAGTGTTTCCTGTAAGAATTATTTTTTTTTTTGTGTGTTGGAGACTTACCTTCACATCTCCAATACATTGGCTGCTTCACCCCCCGACGCTTTTCTATCAAATGGTAAAAAGAGCACGCACTCTGCCCAAGGAATTCAGGGCGGCCGTACACTCAAACGTGTACTTTGGGTGTTTTCCTTCTTACTGCTGTCAAAGTATTGCATCTCTGGGTTCCCATATGACCCGCTCTGGGAAGCCGCAGAGTTGGTTAAACAGGCGCGTCGGACCAGCTAACAGATGCCCGAGGTGCGAAATGATAGGAGGACACATAAGAGAAACAGCGGTGGGGTGGAGAGGAAGGGGTTATTGTAAAGGGAGGAATGACAGCAATAATAGAGAGGCAGAAGTCAAGAAATATAAAGAAAGGTAGGATTTTTTTTTCTTTGTGTTGTGGGAGGAGGAGCGTCAACCAAAACGAGAATTCCGTTCGTCTCATATAATTTAACTGCGAGACGCATGTGCTCTGCATTCTCTTCCTTCACGTACACATATTCTTATTTGCTTGTTTTTTTCTTATGCGTGTGTGTGTGTGTGTGTG